TACGAGAAGTTGGTTTAAAGTGGCGTAAACAGGACCATGCAATTAAAATATGTATTTCTTTGTTTTTCTATATAAAAAAAATCATATTCAGTCTTTATGAACCCTACTCATTATTTCATGACTTTCTTCTTTTCCAGTAGCTCGTATGAAATCGGTAAGAACATCGCTATCAACACATGTGCACTTACCAATTTCTTTGATGAACACATCGTCATAACATTTATAAGAGCCTGCCGTTAAAATACGAAACAAAACTTTAAAAACTTTCCTGTACTAGGTACTGTCAGTGACAGAATTACGGTTAGATCGCATCCTGGTTAGCTCGCTCCCAGTTAGATCGCTCCAACCAAAAGTTAGATCGCTCCACTCGAAAGTTAGCTCGCTCCATCAAAAAGTGACTTTGCTGCCAACATAAGTTACTTCGCTCCATGTAGAAAACTAAGGTAAAAGTAGCAAAACTAACGTATCTAAATTGATAGTTCATGACGTGAATATCTTACCGAACAATCGATTAATATCGCTCGCGCGCGCTTGAAATAAATCCAAGCTACGCAGAAAGAACAAATAAAGCGTCATGAAAGGGACTCACGAAGTGTAATCTACTTTATTAATTAAAGATGTCGGATATCAGTTTCCTTACATCAAACAGCGAAAAGGGCCACAGTGGATAGTATTGGTATTTGAATGATCCTTTTACATCATCACTTATAAACTTTAAAAATCATTGGTAAGTAATACTTCACTTTACAACATGGAGCGAAGTAACTTTTTTGATGGAGCGATCTAACTTTCGAGTGGAGCAATCTAACTAGGAGCAATCTAACCATGGTTCGATCTAACCGGATACCCAGTGACAAAATCAGCTGAAAATCAAACGTGGTGTCCACCTTAACAATGTCCATTAAATCTTTGAACTCGTACTGATTGTACACCAAACTCTTATCTTTCAGTCTTTTTGACAATGTCTCCAACAGTCCCTGAAAAAAGACAAACGTTTATTAGTGCTAAAATTATGAAAATTGATTAGGCGGTAGATAGTCGACACATATAAATTATAAGATGAATGTAAATTAGGAAAAACATTTTTGAAATATTAGCTGAAGCACTCACAAAATACACACCAAACCCTTGTAAATGACACCGTGTTCTGTTCTGCAAGGCAAAGGAGAAAGTTTAGGAGATTTACATTTATTGTAGTACTTTTTTTCCCTTTGCTAGCTAACAAGTTCAGCCAAAACCTTTTGTGTATTCAGGTGTTGAAAGTCTTTTGTAATCTCTAGTACAGAAACTTTTCAATAAAAAATACCTGAATATATCATATTGTTGTTCATCCATTTTTTATATTCTGTATGACTAGACACTAGTCCAATAGTATGTGCAACTAAATCAAAATTGCCTGAAGCTATTCACAATAATGATCACAAAGTATTTCGTATCCAATGCAGAAAAATAAGGAATAATCAGTATCCTACCCCCTCCCTTGGTCACACCCCTGAGCATGCCGGTGTACCCTTTAGTCTCCCTCTATTTATAAGAGAACAAGTCTTCTGGTGCTTGGAATTAAAAAGAAATAAAACAATTTCTTCTAAAAATAACTGACCTGCTAAGAAGGAAGAGGATGCTTTTGATGTTGACTCTTAGTAAATATCTAAAGCTGTGAAAAATATACAAAAAAGGTTTTTTTCCAAGAGTTGATAAATACTTCAGTGAGAAGAAAGAGACTAAGGCCACCCTTCAACTTACTAGTAGTAAACCTTTTACTCCCAAGATCTAGAGATGAATTCTCCCAGCTGTCTGCTATACATTTCTTATAATTTAAACTCTGAGAACTTGGTGTTTAATCTAAGAGTCATCCAACTGTTTTTTTTCCTTCTCATGAACTTTCTACTTGAAAATGTATTGGATAAATTCCCCTTTGGTCACTTACCTAAAAACTGCAGGGATATTTCTGTCTTCCATCTTTTCCACAAGTAGTAAATAAACAAAACAGCCAAGGCCTAACACTGGATAACAGCTTCTTTCTTGAAAACAGATAAAAAGGAAATTAAGTAAGCTAGAAACTTTATCTATTATTCTAAATACAAATTAAAGCCCTTAACATTTAAAGTACATTAATAGATTCATAGTAAATAATGACTCAAAAGTATTTTTTAAATGTCTTTGAAAACAGAGCCATAGAAGAGCATTTAAACATTCAACCAATTAACTCATGCTGGGCCCATTAATGATGCAAATTAAATTGCAATTTAAAAAAAATGTGTAATCAAAAGGGAAAAGTTTTCAAAAGTAAGGTTCAAGAGCAGAATCTAGAGTCAAATTTCTGATACCTTTTCAAATTTGAAGAGCCTCCTTAAATTAGCCTCTTCTGCAATAAGTGGCTTTACTTCAGCCTTATGATGATAAAAGGACTGGCTAAAAGTATTTACAGAAAGTTTCATAGTATTATTTCAGTTACCTTGCTCATCCTCATCATCATATTCCTCTTCTGCGGAAACATCTCTGTCTGAAGTCTTGTTTGATTTTTCTTGAACATTGTTGTATGTTTTAGAAGTGTATTCCATGAGGTACAGATACGATCCATTAGCCATATGAATGAATTTCTATTTAAATATAAAAAAAGAATAGTGAAAACAACAGTTAGCCATGATTACATTTGTTGATTAGTAATCTTAACAGTGTAGTCTGATTATCTACATGAGAGTACAGTTGGGAAGGACTGTTGGAGGTAATAAATGACTGAAATTACAACAACCTAAGTGGAAGTCATCATTGGAGTCATGACTTGACTCAAGTGATATAAAAATGGTTGTCAGGATGTAAGTCACTAATACTGATCAAATGAGTCCTCTAAGAGTCTACACTCAACATAACAATCAGACAACATGATGCTAGCTCTTGGTTCATGTCTATCTAAAATTATGAACATACCATAATTTCCAGTGCAATTGTTCTGTATTCCATTACAGTCAAAGAACATTTCTCCTCAGAAATGGATTCATCATCCTCATTATCAGGGTCTGCATTTTCTTTAGAATGTTTTTCTAAATCCACAAAAACCAATGGATAATCCAAGAGCTGGATCAAACTGTACAAATAGGATAAAACTATGTCAGAGATTTTAAGAATACATTATCGACATTTTTTATACAACTGACACTTCATACAACTAATAAACAATTGCTTACCAAAGTGGAAGTGAATAGTGGTGGGTATTTACCAAGCCACAAAGGTAAATATCCACTACTTTGAACAACAGAGATGAATAGTTGTTTTCATATACACCACACAGATACAAAATTAATAAAAAATAGTTTTATTATTTGTAGAGTATAGTTTGATTGTCTGAATGAGTGTAGTCCTGAGAAGGACTGTTGTTGGTAGTGGTGACTGACATTCGACAACCTGAGTGGAAGTCATCATCAGATGATGACTTCTGCTCAGGTTGTTGAAATGTCAGTTACTACTACCAACAACAATCCTTCTCAGGACTACACTCACCCTGATGATTAAACTACACTATTACAAGTTACCCCCAGGTTTACCGTAGTTTTATCATTTCTTTCAATAAAATGGTCAGAAATTAAACTATTGATGTGTGGTTTGTCATGGCTGCTCAAGGGGTAAATAGTACTTGCTATTCACTTCTAAACTAGCTAATCAGCACTTCCGATAATCACTTTTCACCTTTGTGGTATATAAATAATAAAAATATGTCTCATTATCAATTGGTAATGAGCACATTCCTCATTTTAAACTGCTATTTGAAGTCTTAAATTTATAAATTATCAAAGAATTTCCCCTTCTCTTATTATTGACAAACTTCTCATTATTGATTGATTGTCTGATTGTTACCCTCATAAAGCTAGTTAAGTTTCTTATCTGTCCTAACTTAAATCAATTTTGTTTTGAATTGATTTTAACTACACTAAGTGTCAATAAATTACACCAAGTTATTTCACACAAAGTAAAATAAATATTACACTAAAATGGCTCAAAAACCTTCCAATCAAAGCAAAAAGTTATTTTATTTGTTATTTGTTGATTAAATAAATGACCAAAGAACCTACCATTTGATAATCTCTGGTCCTAATTGGCTGATGCAAGAACTTGAGGGGGACTAAAGAAACAATAAGTTAATTTTCTTTTTATTTCATATCCACTTAAAAATAAATAGAAATAAAGTTTTTATATCTGGTTATGCAAAATTTATATCTTGCTTATTTTTTATCTTCACTCAGTTGAAGGCTTAAGACCTAACTGTATGTACAAGAGCTGGTTATTGAAGATTGTTGCATCTTAAAAAACTGCTCATACCAATCAGCTTTTATTTTGAAGCTAATGTTTCAATAGCATGTCTTTATGTTTAAGCTTAGTAAATGTCTCTTCTATGGTCTTATATTCGTCTCACCACTCTCTTCTATTACTTTGTCACTCTCTTGTCATTCTGTCATTTAAGGGTACTACAGGTAGATCTTAAGTGAATGGATTATCTACAGCTTTTGTAAATATACTTACAATTTCAGCAGAGGATGATTGCAAGCTGACTTCCTGCACCAATGGTCTGAGAAAATCCAGTACATGTTTCATGATGGATGGCATTTTCAGACATTCACTGCCAGACTCTTTCTCTGTCTCTATTTCATCTGAGAGTTGAATACCTTTGATGTATCTTGTCACACATGGAAGTGCCATACCAACATACTTTGACTTCTTCTCTTGCAGCCTGTGTATTGCTTAAAAAAAAAGAAAAATGAAGCAACTAAAAACCTGAGAAAACGCCTTCTTAAAGGAAGAAAAGACATGATTACTCACCCAAATCTTTAAGCTAACTGTATATAAGGTCTTCTTTATCATATCTTGCATTATATTTTTTATTTACCTGTCTTAAGGGTATCCAGCAGAGTAACAAAATTGTTAAAATGGCAGTCTGTCCCAGAGTCAAGTTGTTCCAACACTCCAATGCAAACCTCCTTTGCACTGCATCTCTGTTAGTTTCACACCAATAATTCAATATTTGAAACAAACTTTTATCTTAAAAAAAGAATTGTAACCACCTGAAAACACATGAGATCTCTGATATTTAAATATTTTATAATTCAAATGTCAACTTAATGCATTTTTTCATCATAGACAAAAATAGAGTATTTTCTTTGAAAAACAAAAAAAAGAAATAAACTTCAATAAAACTGGTTTTAGTAGAATCCTGAAACAGGCCTAAAATGGCAAAAAAACCATTAGACATTTTTTTTTGTACTTGTAGATATCTAAGTGCACAGCATATAATATTACTCTGATAAAGGGTGATCATAGTTAGAAACATAATTTTTATCAGTCTTCAGCTATGACATGAAGGCAAATTAATCACAACTGTTTGTTTGTTATGGTTTTAAACCTTCCAATTTGTTTCATTAAGTAGAAACAGAAGCTAAATGAAAAACCAATAACTGCACAGCTCGTCTCCACTTTGTGAAAAGTAACTTAATTTGCTTACCTCAGCGATTAATCGAAGGATTTTCTTTCTTTCTTCAAGAGCATCTGATTCAAAGTCATCAGCAATAGCTTGAGATATGACTCCAATTAGTTCCCAACCAACAAATTCAAGAGCATCCTGTGCATACACAAAACAAACGTCAACTCAGGGCTGCAATGAATAGGTGTGACCTCTGCCGGTGATAATCACTAAATCAAATGTTTTGTCAACAGGAGCAGAAGTCAACTTGATAACAGAGTCAAAAAATTCAACTCAAGTTATCAAAATCAGTCAATCACTTAAAGCACTCATTTCAAGACTACCTTATCAGAAAGACTTGACAACATGGCAAAGAGTGCCTCCCAAGCTCAAACCATTAATCATTTCACAAGAACAAACCCACTTTAGTACTGATAAACAATAAAACTTAGTTTCTGCTCTTTAAAAGTACTGATTATACGAAAAAAAATTTTGATCATGATCCCAATGTGTGGCTCGGCAATTAAACTTCATTAGGCGTGGGTTTAAATCTAATGAGATCCTAATGAAAGACTTTCCTTCTCACGGTCGTTTAGCTATTAGCTGTGGCACGACCCAATTTCTTTATCTTCATGTATTAGAATCAAATGAACTGGGCATAGAATAATTTATGCAATATTTCAAACCAGAGACACAAAATTGTAAAACATCTAGAATATTAATTTAATGACGTTTAATAATTCTTATCGATGGTGAATAAATGTTTACAAACCTTATGGTCAGATCGAGTCAAGCATTCCAAAAGCCGGGTCCATTTTCCACTACTAACGCATTTCTGAACAGCTACCAAGATGAGGTGGGTATTTGGTTTCTCTGTGCACTGCAGGAAAAATATAATGAGCCTCCGGTAGTATTAATAGAGCTTTAATGCGCGCTCCACCAAAAGCAACACTTACAAATTTTGATAGACTTTCCTGAAGTTCTTCACCATCATCGTCCGCCATCTTTGAAAATTTCCCTTTTTTCATTTATATATGCATCACTGTACCGTCAAAATCAAATACCGCTGACCAAGTAATCCTGCTGGTAGATTTAGAAATACTATGAGTGCCGGAGCTAAATCAACAACAACCACGTGAGTCGGTTATTTGGACGATTCATATCTGAATTATGTCTGAGAAATCGGCTTCAATTTCCTTTGAAATCTGCAATATTTAATGTTGTGATTTGATGAAGCAACTGGGCCATATAAAGCACAGAGTAAGATTTGTACGTTTCCATGTGGCAATATCGATCTGGAAAAAATCTTTGGAGGAGGAATAAACATTTGGGATTATTCCGACCTGGAAACGGTCGCGTAGCAGTCGGGAAATTACTTGTAAATGACCACAAATTTACAAACATTGAGGAGGTAAATTGTCATGTTTACGTTTGGGTAAACGTCGATGACTAAGTGTAGGTGTGACTCGCGACAAATCACAAAGTCCATTTGCTGCGTGTCAGTTCTTACCTCACCGACTATATTTATGTACCACACTAACTTCGGTCTTTGAATCGGACTCGCTCTTACTTTGTGAGGCCAGAGATTCAGAAAATATCGATGTTCAAACTTGAGGAATCGAAGAAGACTGTCCCTTTCGACTTCGGAAGAATTTCTCCCAGAACTAAGATTACGTCGTTAGCGCAATTGCGCAAGGGCGATCATGTCATGGAAGAAAGCCCGTTGGGTTACTGGCATCACTTCATCGTGGATAAAGTAAAGCCAAAATTTGCGTGGGTTATACACAAGACTGGTGATCAAGACACTGGTTTACGATCTCTTCGAGAAAGTAACCCCACTACCAAAGGAGAAGTTTCAAGAACTAAATTTGTTCTTGAGTCTAACCAAGTTGTGTACAGGATAGAGTACCCTCCGACGGATGAGGTCGATGGGGTTGTGGTGTTCTCCTCGGATGAGGTGGTGCGAAGGGCGAGGAAGCGCTTGGGAGAACGGCACTATAATGCTTTAACGAGCAACTGCGAACACTTCTGTCGAGATTGCAAAGCAGGAAAACCTGAGAGCTATCAATCTTATGATGTAGTATGGACTGTTATAAGGCTTTTGTTTGTCTTTCTGCAAGGAATACTAGGGGCAGTACTGTTCATTGTTGCTTCTACAACAGGTTTGTTAGCTCAGACATCACTGTTACTGATGGGTCATGTAGTAGGTGTGATAGTGGGACTCCTACAGGATATTCTGTGGATAGCATTTGTTGTTATTACTGCTGATCTTGCGAGAACCAAAGGTCATGTGACACCTGTGGATGCTGAAAAAATCAAAGCTAAAAGAGTAACCCCAATAGTGTCAGGATTTGTGGGAGGGGTAGGAGGGGCAGCCCTTGGCTATTATCGCATCCCCTTACCAGTGTTTGGTAGCATTATTGGAGCAGTTATTGGAAACTTTCTCTGTCAAGCTTTAGGTCTTCTGGTTGGTAGATGGGTTTCAACCTTGTTAAAGTAACACACCATGTTGTGTATATCATAATGCCATTAGTAATTGGAAGTCAGATTGGGTGGGTTAATAAATTGATTGTAATTTTATCAAAAATATAAATTTGAAGTACTTCCTAGTTAAATTTTTGACAATTTGAAAATGGATTGGGAAGAATTTTAGAATTTTTTTATTTGGGGACTCTAACTTTTGGTAAGAAATAATTCACAATGTTACCAGCCCCTTTCCCCACCCCAATAATCAATGTTGACATGAGCCCAGAAGGCTAGATGAATGAAACACAGCATTGCACTGGGAACTGAAAGGGGAAGAGACATACATGAATACAGCACAATTACAAAGAAATAAATTATCTCAGGACTCAAACCACTGGTTGTAAATAGTTATAAATGAAAAACGAATATTTGGATTTTGATATGACAGAAACAAAGACTATAAAGATCTTTGTTTTATTTAACATAGCCATAACTTGAAGTTCATTGTTCAATTAAAACTGGGAAGATTGTTATGCATATTATTACTTAATAAGTAAGTAAGTAAGTAATAGTCTTTATTGCCAAAAGATAAAAGTACATATCTTTTGTTACATTCTAGTTGCCTATACACTCAATAAAAATCTATCCTTTAAATTAAAATACTTAAACTACAAATGGATGATAAAATACTACATAGAAAATACATTACCTTGTGTTTAGAAATCAATCTATTTACATATGATGTCATAAATCGTTTGCTATTTACTTTGGGGAGGGCACACTGTTTTTTATGCAGACTATATTTATTCTCATGTGTTGGTGGTAAATATGAGCCTAGTGGATGGTTATCTACAGAGGTAATAGCCTTTAAAATCTTGCAGTCCTGTCTATTTTAAAGGTCCTTAATAGTTCATGTGAAAGTTGGCAAGTCCTCTTAGGGTGTGTAGCATTAAAATATTTGTACAACTAGGTAGAGGGAAAATGTATCATCCTCAGAGCTTATGTTATCTTAAACATGATTAGACTCAACATATTTATAATTATTTCATTAAACTAAAATTATTTAGCTGAGTCTCTCTGAAATGAAACTTGTAAATGGAGTAGCATATAGAAACATTTCATATGTAATAAAGGACCAAATAAATTTAATAAACTATTTACAAGGTTCATTTACTCGATACTTCTCACCATGAATTTAGAGGCAAGAAATTTTTTTTTGTAAGACTTAATAGTCTTAGCCCTTGATTTTTAAAATAGAGGATGCCTCTTTTGTGAATTAAGGTGATTAACAAAAGCTGTGAGCCTAAAGCCTTGTTTTCATTAGCAATGCAAGCGAAAGTACCACCACAAGCACAGCAGCTGATATTTCACTGTGAAAATGGCCTTGTTACAAGCATATACACAAGGGCCAGCATAAGGATCAGAATTTTCCTTTTTCTTGTGTTAATGCTTGTGCTTGTCAATATTCATTTTCTCTTGGTATACTTACCTCATGTACATTTGTACTTGACTGTGCTTGTGCTTGTGTCACTACATATAGTTAGAACCAGGCTTAAACAGTTAAGTATTCTTATGAACCACTTTTCAAAATGGTCTAACCTGAGATTATGAAGCAAGTTTGAAATATTGATTATTTGGGGATCCCATCTGTAATTGAAACATTCTCTGTAATCCAAACAAGTCCATCAATGTCATTACCACTAATTTCTTCACCCTCAGATCCATCACTTTCAAGTGAAACTGCTGCAGTGTAGCTGTCATACAAATTGAAGTTGTTTTCTTCCTCAAACTCGTCATCCGCTCCATACTCTTCAAATTTAGTCCAGTCCTCGCCATCCCAATATTTAGTATTACAATCATTTGAAGAATCCCAACAGACCTCTGCATTAGCTGTTGTTTGCTTGATAATTGCATCAGAACTAAATTCATCTGCAGTATCCCAGTTTTCAGGTTCTGTCCATGTTGAGTCAGGTCTTTTTGATTCATACACCTCCTGATCATTACCACATACATCCCAACCAGTGTCACTCTCTTCACTGCTCCACTGTGGTGATGACTGATGCTGCCACAGGACTCCACATTCATCTTCAGTCAGGCAAAACCTTGAAGAATCTTTCAGCACAGATCTAAAGTAAATATTTAATTTAATAGTTAATTTTGTTTAAAGACTAGTTTGTAAATGCTGTTTTTTTTCACACATTACTTTGGTTATCAAAATTTGATAACTGATATTAAGTATGACCCTTCATGACATGGTGAACTATGCAACGTAATGCATTTTTCAGTCATTTCGTATGATCAATAGGAGGACAGATAAAGCTGACACTGTCACTGGCATTTTTTTGTAAGTAATAATTTATAACAAAAAGTTTGCATTTGATTTTGCTGAGTCTATCCAGTAGTAAATAAGCTACAACTCTTGAGGTTCTAAAAAGTTGTAAGTTGCCTACAAAAACCTCTTAAATATTAAGCCTTTTTCCTTTTAGGATACCCCATTCTAGATGAGAGATTTCAGTATCACATTCTGTTAGGTGGGATATACCTGTACAAAACAGCATTTCTCCCCCTTCCCCCTCCCCCTTCAACAGAATGTAGCATCAAATGGAGGGAATGGGTTATTAATGTAGGGAAGGAGTGGGGCTAAATTATTTCACACCGCATAAGTATTAATCAGGGCGTGAAATTGCGCCTAATACAGGCGCCAATGCGCCTAAATTTTTCACTTTGGTGACCAAATCCTGAAAGTTAGTTGCCAAATTGGCGACTAGAACGTTTCATCATAACCTTACCAAGAGATATAGTAAATTAAAAAGATTTGCAAAGATAAATCCGCGGCAAACTTCCTCGTTAAGTTTGTTTCCAAAACGTATTACATGCATCTCGATCGATAACTAGACACCAACTTGAATTTAGATGAGCCTGAACGTTGTTTATCATCCATCCTAGTGTCCACTTTGTAGCATGTTAAAGATCTTTTCCCTAACTTAATTTTGGAGGGTCTATCTAGAACGCTGACAGCGTAAAGAAAGATTTTTTTTGTCTTTGAAAATGGCGACCAATTTTTTTTGAATTGGCTACCACTTTGAAGAATTTAGGAGCCAAGTGGCTATCAGAAAAAAAAGTTAATTTCACGCCCTGTTAATTATTTGATTTTGACAGCTTGGTGTATATTTTAAAGATGTTTTTTCACTATTCCTAACAGCCTACCTTAGTTTCTCAATATCATTACAAAACTTTTGAAGGGAGCTGAAGCCTAGTAACTCCTTAAGCAAGTACACATGTGTTTTTGCACAGTCCTCATCATGTGTAAGGTGATTTTCCTCTCCATGGAAACTTTTGTCATCCTTGTCACTTGATTGTGAATCCATGTCACTCTCTTCTGAATAATGAGCCTCCTCTTGGGATGACAGCATCCAGAGGATGTATTCTACTTCTTGCAGAATCTTTTCTTCCTCTGTTCTTGTGTCTTTTTTATATGGAAACTGAACCTCTGCAATCTAAATTTCAATACAAAGGGAAATAACTAAGTTGTCAGAGGGCGATAAAATTTTAAGAATGGAGGCTGAAGTATAAGGTCAATTTTGTTGACAAATGAAAACCTTCAGGAATGTTAGGAATCAAGTTCAGGGATATAAGTCAAATTCAAATTGTTTTCCAAGCCAGAATGGTACATTGAAATATCTATTCACCCTAACCATAACCCTACGCAATTACTTTATTAAAAAAAGAATTCTGGCTGAGGGGAGTTTTGAAATATTTAATGCCTGATTACTCAAAGCAAATTTGTACTGTTTTTATTGCAACCCCTAGTAATACATTGATTTTCTGTCCTATGTTCTGAAGTGACACAAAAGTCTTAATTTGATCCTTCACCCTTTACACCCTTAAATCAGTATGCATATTCTCCACACTGTTCTTAACACATTTCCAATGGTACTGACAAGGAGAATTTGTTCAACAGAGCTTGTCTGGTGGGTAATCATTTCCTTTATTCTCCTGATCTTGATGTTTGGTTCAACAAAGATTTTGTAAGGAGATGTTAGATGCCAATCACTTATAGGGGTTGAAGAGTTAAGTGAGTATCCACATATATGAAATTGAGAATATGGAAAGAAGCCAACACCCATACCAGATTGTATGGCTGGCCTATCTCTGGTCCCTTCCTGGAAGCAGAGTAGGATGCTATCCTCTCAAACACAGCCACTTGAGAGCAACAACCCAGGTGTTCTGTTCCCTTGGGTCCAGCAGCTATCCCATCAAATGTCACAGTATAGTTGTACTTCTGAGCCTGGGTGTTTGACCTGAAAAGTAAAACATTTGTTTAGGCAAAGGTCTATGCTATACTTTTTGAAGCCTTAGTTTGAATATGACATACCAATATACTTGTTTCTTTTGACAAACTTTGAATGGTAGTTGGTAGTTAATACTATTTGTGGGTGTGCATGTTTTTAATTAATGTATAATCAGTTGTTAAATGATTGTAAAGCTCCAATTGCTTTTAGTAAATGGGTACACACCAAGGTCCAAACAAATGAGTTGTTCCATGTCACTGCCTTCCTATTTTGCAACACAGGGACCTTTAAAAATTTCATTAGTTGGCAGTTTCCAGGTCAAATGTCACATGTAAACCTTAAGATATGATCCTCCCTGCCAAGAGCGTCCCATACCTACATGGCACTGTTTCCTCTCCCTATTTCTTTTTTAGGGATGTTATAGTACTGTTATATAAAGCCTGACTGGTTTTCTGAGGGACATTGGTTGAAATCTCCATAAGAGAGTTTTCTTTGGTAATTAAACTGAACATCATATACTTTGGTTAAGAACTAACCATTCTTGAAATTCTGCTCTGGTCCATTCAAACTTGTGATCATAATGCCGGAATCCTTTAAGGTCAGGGAACAAGACATTGAATTCAACATTGGGTGTTGTTACTATAACAACCTTAGGAGACAGCTGACCAAAGACTGCTTCAGGCATTAAATCCAGGATGTCTGGTTGAAGATGTTCTATCCTTTAAAAAAAATTTACAGACTAATCAATACAAAAAAGCTTTTTAAATTCTTATGGCTGAATGACTCAGCATTGTGGGGCAGTTACACCCTATTCAGTATATGCTTATCAGAAGTTTTCCTACATATTGATTGTTTCTTAACCTTTTAATCACAGAATTGATCAACATGTAACCTCTCCCTATGATATCCATACTATAATCAGTAAACAGGTAATTAGAATACTCAAACTTATCAGGATGAAGTTTTTATCTTGATCTAACACCAAATTATCATAACTTATTAAGAAGAAATTGTGTAGCAGCTGGAAGGGAGAATCAAAAATCAGATCTTGTGATTTAAAGGGTTAATCATCTTTCCTAATAGTACAGACATGTAGTTGATGACAAAATTGATACCTTTCTGTCTCTTAATTGTCTAAAACAATAGCACATTCCACTCTTGACTCTGTTGATGACCTCTGCTCGGGTTGTCAAAAAGTCAGTCACCACTACTAATAACAGTCCTTCTCAGGAATATCCTCACTCAAATGATCAGACTACACTATCAAACATTCTACTCTGTTGTGCATATGTTCAGTAATAGATCATGAGCGATGTGGTAAGAACATCACAAAAACTTGCCAGAGGCTTTGAGACCGGATTTTGTTCTTACCACATTTTGACACCAAGTATAGTATGTTACAAGAAAAGCCTACGCAATATGTTGTGTATAATTTGTTTGGTTAATGTAAAGGGAAAAAAAGTGAAAACATGAATATTGTATTGTCTGAAATAGTGCACCACAGTAACATATCAACTTTGTGTGTTAGGTGGAGAGTTTCAGGTATGTACTTACAGTTCAATGCAAGCAATTATATCAAAATCAATGAACCTCTCATCTGCTTCAGCAATAGAACCTGATAAAAGAATTTAAAATCGGGATAATTTTTTGTTCAACCTAATTTTTGTTGCATTAGCACTTAATTACCTACACTGTTTATACCTGAAAAAAAAAGAATTGAAATTACCTTGATATAGAGAAACTTGGAAGGGATGGGTACGTGGTCGCAGATAGTCTGCTGTGAATGGCCTAATGCGGAACTTGCTTTCTTCAAGAAGCTGTTGATCAATATCCACACCGACTAATTCTTCCAAATGAATCAAATTATCTTGACATATCAATGCTTTCACTAGCTTTGCTTCAGCACAACCAAAATCAAGAACCTAAATAAATGTGGATAAAAGAAATTGTTTACAATGAAGAAAAATTTAATTTATTTTCTAAGCCAACTATAATCACGAGAGCTCCAAGTCAGACAATGAGGAAGAATTAAATTAAATGCTCTATGAAAGGCTGCATGGACCTGGCAACAGATTCAAAAGTGGTCATTTGTCAGGAATCATAGGCATTACTCAGTCTTGTGTGTTACCAGAGTTAAGTTAATTTTGCAGTACGTCAATTTTGAATAGAGTGATGTAGGAAGCCAGAACATCCTGTACCTAATGTCAAGTAACAAATCCTAACTCAGCCATTCCAGACTGTAGGTGAGTAAGCTTAAGAAAATAATGTCCAATAGTCACGGACAACACAACCCTGGAAAACAATGAATGTTCTTTACCTTGTGTATGCTTAAAATGTTGTTTTTCCTTGCGTTACAAGTGCAAGTTTACGATTACACCTGATTGGCTGAGGTGAAGGTGGATCAAAAGCAGTAACAATGGCTTTTAGCTCGCTGCTTATTTTCTTTGGTTTCAAAATGTGCGTATTCATTGCTCACTATATACTAACAGACCACTCACTGATCGAAAAATTCCAGTATGTTTACGAATTTTAACACTAGCTTCGCGATCAAGTACCTTTTTTGCTTGTTGTTTCTTCACTAGCTCACATACTGCAGCATATCGTTGACGATAGACAGGGGGATCAAACTTAGGACCTTTAAATGTTCCTTCATTTTCTGTCGATGGAGGAGGTTTGTCTCCATCGGTAACATGGCCGACGCTCGCCGTATCGTTTGCTGTATCACCCATCCCTAACCATACCCTGTCGTGCTTTCCTGTTTAAATGTAAAGTAAGTCACTCTGAAGAACATGGAAGTTACTAAAATGCTAACAAAAGCCAAGATAAGGATGCCAACATTTATCTTTTATAAGTTTGTTGAAAAGTTTGCGTTTTCCCGGAATTGCCGCCATGTTTTTTTTCCCGCGTGGAGGGGGATTGAGACGAGGTTACTTCATTCTTTCCCAGGAACGTTGTCGTTTCTAACCGAGAATAGAATGGGGCAAGCATTGCACCACAGACTTTATGATCTATTTTTAGTTTGTTGGTGCAATCTTGGACCATGGTTAGGTATAAAACCCTTGATAGATTTAAATCAATTTATTTCCTAGGACTCACTTAGTACATTTGTAGAACTACTAACTCTCTTACTCCTTTCTTCGTCATGGCAGGACCTTTAGTTTCTGTAGGACAGTCTACAATCAATAGTTCCCATTCGTTGCACGCTGGGTCAAGCAAAGGAGACTTGTCAATTTTGATACTGCCATTTAATTATAACCGACCTGTTTCCTACGATCACAACAATGGTGATGTGGAGTCTACAGGCGACGATTTTGATTCATGTGACGAGGAAAACAACTACCCAAGCGAGTTTGATTTCCTCGATCAAAAACATGGACAGATCTGTAGGCGAAATGGTGAGAAAAAACTTTCCGTTGCTGTGAAGGCCAAAAGGAAATGTAGTCAACGGGATACTCGGAAGGTCATCTCCTCGTCAAAAGGAAGTTTTACAGGATCTGACGATTCTGACGTTGGCCTTACTAATAAGGAATTGCGGATCAGGGAAATAAGGATTGAGAATACGAAGAGAAAGCGGGAGAATAAGATCAAAGCAAAGAAACGGAAAGGGGTTACTGAGAAAACTGAGGTGCAGTCGGAGAAGGAGAAGAAACCTCTAAAAAGCTGTCTTAGAAAATCTGTAAGGAAGAACCCAGTAAGTGTTTGTGCCAACCAAACAGCCAATCCACCATCATTTTATAACAATTCTGACTTTATTCTTAATTCAAACAACAACGGTGTTAAATTTGAAGATCAGTCATACATTAACTTGCTGATTGAACTTCAAAACCGTGAGATCACACCTGAGGATTACGACTTGCTCCTCCAGTTGGATTCCTCTGTTCAGCCTAAGACCTTATCTACCGCCCAAATTAAGAGACTGTCATCAGATAAAGTAACAAGTGAAATTGATGACTTGTGTAGCATTTGCATAGAAGACTATGTCTCAGGGGATGAGAGAAACTTTTTGCCCTGTGGTCATCACTTTCATAGCTTTTGTATAAAGACTTGGTTAGGTACTACATCAGATAGATGCCCCATTGATGGGAAAGAAGTTAGGTAACATTATCTTTGACAAACCCTTTTATGGGGAGTGGGTAATAACTAGCTTGAATGTAAGAATAGGATCTTGGGTAGAAAATGAACATACCCTTTCACTCAGCAGTTTGATTTTGATGCATGCCCACAGCAACAATGCTTGCATGTAGTCATGACCTTTATTGTCACATACCATATTTTTGTATTGATTCTATATTTTTTATAATAAATTCTCTCCAGTATGTTCAGGCTTGTGCATAAACAACTTGGAAGTTGTAGACTTAAGTTGTATTTTTTTTTGTGTGAAACAAGGACAGTAACTTGTTTCTTTTTTTTATGCTTCTCTGTTTTTTTTTTTATTCTGGAAAATACTCTTGGCCATAAAATTAAAACTTAAAATTAAGATTAAAAAAAATATAATTTTGACTGACTTTTACTGGTTCAATGTCTATATTGCTGCTGTTGGTTGGTCTTGTTGGTCTTGCAATTTGTATAACAATATCGAAAAAACTGCAGCAAGAGGAGATCAGGCTATTTCTAACTTTCTGCTCACATTTAAGAAGGTTTACCAACTTCTGTGCAACTTTTATATCTGACAGTCAAAGGAATACTGTACTCCTGAACATTAATACTGATAAATCCTGAAAAATTCAGATCACATCTTCCCAGTGCACAAATCCTGACTGCAGTTTGTGTGTGAAGTCTGTTTTTCCTTGCAATCCAACATGATGTAAAGTGACATACATCACAAACATGTTATCAGCACTCTTTCACCATTTCAAAATTTCAGTTATTATCAATTTACTGTCTTCACAACTTGTATTCTGATACAAGCTGATGTGTTTACCATAGACTATCGCATGATACAAGCTTGCTCTGTACCAGTCAGTACATTATGCCCACCATTCCTGTAATCCTGGAGGAGAGGCAGTTTAGTTAAAGTTCTCTGTATTCATTTCCTGGTTCATATTGAATGTTATGCCTGAAACAGTAACTGTTTAGCTGCTTGGCTCTTTTCAGTCCCTCATGTCAAGCACTGATTTTGGCAGTATTTCACAATGTTCATGTACTTGCTCCACAATTTTGCTTGTGAGAATACTTTTTTATCTCACAAAAGCAAAACCAACCAGTAACATAAAAACCATCAGGGATATGAGGAATTCTGTAGTGAAATGCCATTCTTTGTCATCTTGCTGAAAAAAAAGATAATAAAAGAAAAAACATCAAGTAAAAGAATTTCTGACTATTTGATTATTTCTGATCTGAAAATAACCTCCAGGTTTCAGAACAAAAACACTAACCTTCAACAAAAAAAAAAACAAAATTCCTAATAGAATATTTCAATTTAGCTGGCTTTGTAAAAATTTAAACATTTACATGACCATGCATTACAATAAAATTGTAAAGTTGGTTTGGTTTAGAGTTGTCAATAAGAACAATAAACTGTTCAAACAAAATCACAAATTTCACTCAGGACAATCAAGACATAGAAACACAATATACCTTCTTTTGTGGGTTTGGAAACTGCTCATGAAGAATGCGTTTCTCTGAAGTTTGATGTCTTTCATCTGACTGGGATCCTGAACAATGATCTCCCCTAAAATGGTGGACAAAACCCATCAGTCACGACATGATTGAATTTACCTTGCAAGAGCAGATCTAGATCATAGATTCCAGAAGCACACAATCTCGTCTTAAACACTGGCACTGGACAGAGAGAGGCACTGTGAGAGAAATTTTCTTGCCCACCAAAAACAACACAATGTATCGACCATGGGATCTACTCAAAGTGCTCTTTTAATCCTTTACACCCTGACATTAGTATGTACTTTCTCCATACTATTCTCTTTACATTTCCTAAGGTGCTGTCAAGGAGAATTTGCTTAACAATCAAGAGGCTCTTTGGTTGGTGATCATTTCCTTTATTCTTGTGACCTTTCTGTGTAATTCAGGGGTGACATTGCAAGGAGAAATTAAAACTGGTCACTCTTAGGGGTTAAGAAGTTAACAGATCTGTCCAAGGTTGATATTGGTGTCTGTTCATTGTTTTTAAGGTCCTAGAAACATCTCTTGGTATGTACATACCTGCATGATGTGTCCTCCATGAGATCAAAGGTTGTAGAATTAGTCATTTCGATGCTATGAACACTGCCAAAGAAGTCAGTGACTAGAACCTTTTAAAAAAATGTTCTAGTCTAGTCAGTAGAAATACCAGTACATTTCTTATTCCCCCCCCCCCAATTAATTTTCTACTATTAATGTTAATTTAGTTTGAAAAGCCTTTGGTTACACTCATGACAATGGATAATTAATCCTGGGACAGGGTGAGAGGAAGTTGCAGTAACAACAACATTGTTTGTTTTGTTATGCAAATGCAAATGCAAACTATGCCAAGTTTGATAATCACTCTCTCTTTCTCAAACCTTACTTTACAAGACCAGCATAGTATCCCATTTAGAATTTTGATAAAACAGCAGTCAGAGAGGTTAATGAGTCACAAATAGCTGGATACTAACTGTTCCACTAGTCTACTGACACTTCTCAGGGTCTACTGTGTTACAAAACAAATCCGCACATAAAGTATATTTTTAAGTCATACTGGTAATTACAATAGATTATAAAACAAGTACCTTTTTAGGGTCTCTCTTAAACAAATCAGATCTCACTCCTGGAGTAGATATTACCAGAGCTGGTGTGGTATATTTGAACTATGTAGACAAAAATTGGCAGAGTTGAAGTTGTCTTAATTAAATGTTAGCATTTAATATAATTGAAAACAAACTTTCAATCATTCCAATTCAATGTTCTTGTAGTTTCCTCTATGAAACAATTACTGATATTTCACATCCAACCAAGTTTTATATTCATCAAGTCAATGTTCTTGTAGTTTCCTCTTTGAAACAATTACTGCTATTTCACATCCAGCAAAGTTTTATATTCACCCAAACTTCTCACTTGTGCAATGGAAGGAGAAATGAAACAGGAAAAGAGAATTCTTCTTTGCCTGAGAAGCTGTCCATATGGAATACCCCAAAATAAATTGTGAAAAAATGACTCACCAACTCTCCCACAGTGGCCTTGCTGTTGGGCTTCACACCTTCCAAGAATTGAAGCACATAATATGTATATCTGTCAATTACATGCACTCCAATGGCAGGGTCTTCGTGATGCTAGAAAAAAAAAAAACAACAAAGAATTGACATGCAATAACATCTGAATAATCAGAACCCACATTGTAACAAATCTCTCTACGCTACAACAAAACAAAAACTTAATCATATGGTAACCAAAAACAATGTGTTTCTCTATGCTTGAACTTCCTATAGGCATGTTGTAATCTTATGATTTCTACAGACCATGCAAATGTAAATGAGAATCAGCCACATAAAATTACTCCACTGTGTAAAATGTTCTGAGCTAAAGTCACTAAAGCAGGTCAACTCTAGACTAACACAACAGTTAGCTCAGTTTGTAAGCACACTGCACCAGCCTTGGGGAATCACAGGTTCAAATCCTATTGAACTTTCCTAAAGAATTATTATTGTCATTATTTCTGCACGTATACTGTGCTTACCTAGTTCAAATATCATTGGTTCAAACACAAATGATTCATTTCATATCAAAATAAACTTACAGAAAGTGAGTCCTCTCCTACTAAACTGCTGCCAACAGCTAGAATGTTGGGTGAGTACAATTTCTGAGTCATGGAGTACGCTTGACAGGTATCCACAATCAAGAAGACTTCATTATACCTGCCAGCATGAATGAGTGCAGGTTAACATCAAGCATATAAAATATATTAAAAGAAATCAAACTGTTCTTTAAGCTTCATGAACTGTAAGCTCACAACAAGATGATTCAAAGCAACTTTTACCGTCTTTTCTGCCACATTTGCTCAAAGGCATCTGCCAGCTCAATACTAGTTATCTCCTCAGCATCTTGAAACTTGAGAAAGCCGTCACCACCATGACCTGAAAACAAAATCACAATAAATGTGATTATTTTATAAATTTGCAATTGCCATTAATCCAGTATTCCTGTTTTATAGAACAATTTAGTACCTACTCCTGTTTAGGGAGAGGAACTATTTAATTCAATAAAAGTCATCTGTCCTTTGTGCCTTGCTATAGAGAAGAATTTTAATTCATTGAAAGAAGATAAGATATAACTTGTCCTTGGTATTTGACCCTTTAACTCCAAGAAGTGATTAACATGTAACTTCTCCCTATAATATCCATACATTATCCAACAAACAGGTAATGAGAACAGTCAAACTTATCAGGTGAAAGTTGCTATCCTGATCTGACACTTAATTCTCACAACTAACTTACAAGGAAATGTGTGGTAGCTAGAGGGGAGAATTAACAATCAGATCTTGGGATTTAAAGGGTTAAGGTATGAGGTTGGCATTTCATAGTAAGGGTACTAACCTGTCATGTATACAAGAATATTACTTCTCTCATCAGAGAGAAGTCTCTTAGATCTTGGTACTCTGGATGGCAAACGACCTGTTGTGGAGCATTATAACTCACGTGTTAATTTCTGTACTTGTGCTTGGATTTTAATTACTTTCTATTCAAGTGACCTAAATAAAAAAGAAACTAAAAAATATCTAGGAAGCAAAACTATTATGACATAAAGCTATTACCTGTCAATATTCTTATGAAATTTTCTACTGTGACCTGAAAAATTGAGATGCAGCAATTAATCAGCACACTTTAGGTAACTAGTGTAACATCCAACGCCATAGTGATAGCAAATAAGGTATTCTCTAGGCAAAAATATGAACTTCTTAAGTTCATTCACAATTCAGCTTGCATAAGAGCAAACTTTATATGTTTCTGTCTGCTTATGTATTCACCTCATATCCTCTGTAATCAACTTCAATATCATCACCATATACATTAATATGCTGGTTTGCATTGTTGAACACTGTTCCTATAATTGCAAAAAAACAACAACAAAAAAGATCAAAGAATTTGAGAAAGATTTCTAAAGAAAATATGGATTGAAAGATGTAAACAAATTAACCTCAATATCATAAAAAATAAAAAAAGCAATCAATTATAGGAGTAAAACAGTTATTACAAGATTGACAACAAAGCTGACCTGGTCTTGGGTTTCGGGCATTGCAAGCCATATCATCAGCAAGCATAACAATAATATGACTGTAAGGGCAATAAAACAACAGAAACATTTCCATGTAAGTTCTAATCAGCACAGTTTTCAAAAGGCTGTTGTTCTCCACTTAAACACTTTATATGATAAATAAAAACATTTTTTCCGTCTACTGGACATTTCATCTCCAAGGCCACGTGCAAGACCTACATCACTGGCACTAACATGTGTACACAAACTGCTCACCTGTCTGGGATTCCGAGCCGCTTAACACTTCTATACATGGAAAGAACGTTAGCCACGTGTCGGTAGTTGAACCAAAACCGCGAGGTACATACCTTGCAAGGTGGAGAAAGATAGATTGAAAAGTTTGTAAGGAGCGTTTTCTAAAATTTACTGGTTACCCTTTAAATTAAGTTTTGCGTTTGTATTGTTCTAAATAGATTTTCCTCTCACCAATACAGCCCAGTTGTTAGTGTGATCACTCTTGAGGAACTTATCAAAAGATCTTCCAGTTTGTGCCGCTATAAATTGTGAAAATACAGCTAGATAAAGGAGCACAAGAAATGACAGTCTTGCCGCCATCTTGAGTTATAGAGGCTTGCAAGATATACTGGGTATTAAACGATCACGATCCGAAGATTCTTCGGGCTGAAATGTTCTCACCGATTTTTGGTAACATCCCCTGTAGATTGTTTCCTTTAAGGAATAATTACGAATAAATTTTTTTGACGTACAATTTACCGCTATTTTAATTAATTTTATCCAAGAAAGCTTTGGCTGAAGTTGGGGCTGAAGTACCGAAGATTTCCGACTCGAGCAATTTCTAATTAGTCAATTATCATGTTGTCATAACAACGTTCGAACACCAGTCATTAGATTAAAACCTTCGATCGAAGAGTAGTTTGGAGACTGAGACTTTATGTAAACATTTAGAATTAAGACACGAATTATGACGGCGGAGGAAAGTAAAGAGTACATGGCGAAGACGGAGGTTCATCAGCTTTTTGAGGTACATTTGACTTATAGAGAGGCGCAAGAACCTGTGGGCAATATTTTTAGCTTTCCTACGTCGGTTACAAATTTCAGGAACCTCATTCACAAATCTAATTAAGGGACGCATAGAGTTCCAGATGATTTTAAAAATTTTAAATTTCCAAGCATAGTTGTTCTCTGGGATTAATCTTAGGCGTTGTGGTGCGCCTCAGGACTTAATTGCGCTCTTGTAGTGAATTAACTTTTCAAATCGCGCACAAACAGATAGCGTGTATTAGCAGCGGTTTAATCTCAGTGGCAGGTAAGAATCGGAGACTCATCGTCAGATTGACTGAGGTCAAATGAGAAGTGGTTCTGTCGACTGCTTTTTTTTTTTGTGAGATAAAACGGACAGGTTGTGCCCTCTGTAATCCGTGACACGAAAGTTCGATTTGGAACAGTTCGATTAGGATACATGATCGTCAATGTTTCTTTGTTTTACCTTTCGATCGTAACCTCTCAGAAACATTGCAAACTAATTAATTGTGGTAGCTCGATGTTTCTTTCGGTTTACTCGAAAAATATTGGCACTGACATTTGCTATATTTTATGATGTGGTCTTCATCTACAAAATTCATTTTATAAATGAGTATCGATCTGTTTATCCATTCTTCGGCAGCTGCCATGTAAGCAATAGTGCAGCGTCTCTGAGGGGATAAATTAAGCCTCTTTTGCTGTTTTATATATCTATTCAAAATAACAAAAGACGTCTAACAAAGGGGAAAGAAAATAAACAAACTGAATTTCACTATTCGTGATGTGTTGCACTGAACGTATGCATGTGTTTCCAGTATTGGATCGTTTTAAATATGCATTATGTTGATTCAGCTTCTAAAATATTCAAATGTATAATGTATATTTTATAGACGCACATGGATTTGAAGAGAAGTCTGTGTATTAATCACTTTCATTGCTCTGCTTGGTCAGTTGAAAGCCATTTGTGAAATTTGAAAACATGAAAGATTTTCAGTTTAATATTTCAGCTATGAGTAGCAAGGTTCACAGGCAAGCGAGATGTAGTTGAAATGAGGTCTGGGCCTTTCCAGCCTCCGAGTTCACATGCCTTTTTTTATTCTCTGTTATTGTCCTAGGTAGCTTGCTTATATAATAAATATATTTTTGACCAAGCTTCAAGATGCCTTAAAAATGTTTCCGGGGAATTTGACCAATATCTTGATGCAAAAAGTGTGACAATTAGCATTTTTATACCTGAAGGGAATGCTGACTGGCTTGCTGTATCACAAACCTGAGGATCATTTGGCTTTCCTGGAAAATTGCATTTCCCTTGCTAAAACAGAAAAGGATATAAAGTGGAACTCTTTCCTTGATGTCAGCAAGAAGCCCCTGCCACCTATCCCAAAAACAGATGGTCCAATCAAGTCTGAAGCAGGAGATGAAATCCGCACATTTACCACTGAACCAGAAATGAAACAGAAACAACCACTTCCTCCAATTAATGGGACTGCTCATCCATCCATTGATGAAGACGACAAGGAGTTGACTGAGAAAAATATTTTGACATCTGAATCTGATGAGGAGGTGGACGTGGAGTTTTCTGGTCAAAGGATTGTGTTTGTTCTTGGTAAGGGAATCAGTCATCAAAAGGTTACTGGATCAACTCATTAAAAGTTTGATACCTCGATCATTCAATCAATTAATCAGAATGATTCCTAAAGCTACTAGTACATACTAAAAAAGATAAAAACCTCCACTTTGCCAATTTTCAGCTTTCAAGTTCATTGAATTAAAATTTTTCTGAATAATCATTTGTCATCTGTTTCATATGGAATTGAATTCTGATCTGAATTCCACCTCTCTCCCCTGTTTTTTGATCTATGTAGTAGCCATGAGAAATGTATTGATCTGTTTGATTGTAGGAGGGCCAGGCTCTGGTAAAGGAACTCAATGTGCTCGAATTGTTGGGGAATTTGGTTATGTTCACTTATCAGCTGGTGACCTCCTAAGAAAGGAGGTGGCAAAAGGAAACAAAAGGGGACAGATGATTGAAGATATCATGAAGGAGGGGAAACTTGTTCCTCAGGTAATCAATCATTTACATTTAATATGAAACAGAAAATAATTAAAAAAATTAAAATTGGCAGCACTGACTGACTAATGAATGAATAAATTATTCTCTGCTCAGTCATTTAAGAAAATCCCCATACCCTTCCAAAAAGGTTTTTAATTATTTATAAATCTCCTCTTATTCCAAGGAAATTTGATTTCTGGTTCCAACCTTACTTCAAAACTTTGGTTTTTGAGACATCCCTCTCCCTGGGGCATGATTATTTTCTGGAATCACTTTAGTTATAGAGTTGGAATAGAAATGAAATGAGTGTTTAAAATTTAAATCAAACACAAAGTTTACCAAAGCATAACAAGTTGTCTAAAATTAGCTGGTTCATCAGCAGCATGTATGTTGTCATCTCAGCATGGATAGTCCATCATAATTAATATTCATTATATGTTTATAACATCTAAGGAGATCACAATTGAACTGTTGAGAGATGCTATGAGACAACACAAGGATTGTCCTGGATTTCTCATTGATGGCTTTCCAAGAGAAATACAGCAAGGACTGCAATTTGAGCACGAGGTTAGTCTGCCTTGGTTGAAGTTTATATACACACTTATCTAAATTTACTAAATCAGGCATCTTTTTGTCAAATTGAATTTTTCACCATTTTGGTTGTAAATACCTGTATGACCTACTATGAGTTATTTCTTTGGGACTTCTCAGAGAGAACAGTAGGAAAAGAGTCATGCAACACTCGTTTTACTTTCACTATTTTAAAGTGGCACCCAAATGAATGAAAAAACCTCCATATGAGGACCTTGAGTTGACAACTTGGCCCCATAACTAAATTCACTTGGGCTGCATGCAGGTATCCATCAACCATCTCTGATATGGAATCTTTTCCTTTTTTGCTTTACCTCTCCAAGATCTTTTAATACCAGTTTCATACCATAATGATAGTATGGAGATCCTTTACAATCATCCTATTTGCACTGGAAGCTTTCTTAATTGTTTTACTATTGCAAATTTTCACCTTTTCTGGGCAAACCCAAGGGTCAGAAGCACATGTAGAGCCCTCCCCTCCCTCATACCCATAAAGATCTCTTGGGGGAAGGGGACATGCATTGAAATTGTGTTAAGCCAAACATGAGTATCTTGCATCTAAATATATAACTGAAGAAAATTTTTTTTACTAGTCTGAGTAGAACTATATAGCTCTAGTTATACCTCATCTGATGAGAATTTGTGTTGTTGCTTTGCCAGGTTGTGGAAAGTGACTTCCTCCTTTTCTTCGAGTGCAGCGAGGAGGTCATGGAACAGCGATTACTTAAGCGAAGTGAAACAAGTGAGCGGCCTGATGACAACATCGAGACGATCAAAAAGCGTTTCACGACGTTCGTTGAGAAGACGTTGCCTGTTATTGGGCATTATGAAGAGCTCAGCAAAGTGAAAAAGGTTGGAGCCTGTATGTCATATTCTAACGATTTCTTTCCGTTTTTCAATTTTTTTGCCGACGAAGGGTTGAGTTTGAAAATCAAAGATTCTAGCTCGCGGTGTTCAGTTAATTTTCTTGATAGAGAATTTATGGTCGAATATAGAAAGAAGCAGAAACTCTCGGTTTCTGGGAAGTCTCAAACAGCGCACAACTTGAATAAAACTGTATAGCACTTACAATTGAATTTTGACTTCAGATTGATGCGAATCGTAGCGTGGATGAGGTCTTTTCAGAAGTGCGAGCTCTATTTGGGGCATTACCTCCGAAGCAAGTGCAGAAAATTAGGAGAAAGAAGAAGAAAGTTGCTAGCAACGAAGAGGAAGATGAATACGAGTTTGTAGAGTTCTCTGGCCAAAGGATCGTCTTTGTCTTAGGTACTGCAGCTCATATCTAATTTTCAATTTTGGGCGTGTCATAGAACACGTTCTCCCATATGTTTGCAAATACCGCGTATGAGCTTCTTGTTGTTCTCCTTTGGTCCTTAGGTGGTCCTGGGTCTGGTAAAGGAACTCAGTGTAGTCGTGTTGTGGAGAAGTTTGGTTATACTCACTTGTCAACAGGAGATTTACTACGAGCGGAGATCGAAGGAGGCGGAGAAAGGGGACAAAAACTTGCTAAAATAATGGAGGAAGGAAATCTTGTTCCACAGGTATGTCTTGCGAGCCGAAGCCCAAATTTCTGCCCAAGTAGACTAGTTATTTCATAATATTACTCTACTGCATTATATTTCACCCCATCCAAAGGTGTTCTACCTCGGTTGCTTGATTCTCGAATTCCGTGATCTCTTCATCCCTATCATGAATAATTAAGGCATGGGAAGAAATGAAATTTGAGAGTCAAACCAGCTGGAGCATTTTTATCTGGAAATGGAATTTTTCTGCATCATGTGTAAAGCTGGATTTTTGCGGAGTTGATGGTGTAGATCGTAGCACGCTACACGTGTGTAAAATTTTAAAAATGGTAGTGGAAAGGTACGCAGAGATGGAAAAGGCGTGGTAATTTTCCCGATCATCAAACTAAGAATTTGGGACATAGTATTC